CCAAATTCAACTTTTACTTGGGTTCCTAAGACTGAACTTTCATCATCAGTCTTGCAAGGCTAGTGCTTTTATCAACTGAGCCTATATTCCTTCTTAAAAGTTTTTAACTTTCCTGAAACTCAGATTCCTTACTTGTAAGATGAGAAAAATATATCTCATCTTATAGGATTTCAAGATAAACAAGTCAAATACTTATGATAACAGGACCTGAAATGAACTGCAATATATGCTAAGTACTGGCTTTTATTAATTCATCTGCTATAATCAATATTGCACTTAATTATATCATACTTTATTAATATACGGGCTTTGAGTGGTACTCTTTGGGCTGTGTAGTAGCATTATATTTCTTTAAATGAAAAGTCTAAGTGATTCTTCTAATTAGCCCACAAAGCACTTAATGCAGCAGTAAGCATAGCTTTATTAAACTAGTAAAATATAGATGTGGTTAGCATTTTAAGAGTGGAAGACTTTAGGCCTGGGACACAGACCACTGATTACCAAAGATACCAGCTCTGTTGTGTGCTACCTGCGTGGCTCTGAATAGTGTCTTTTCCCTCCTCAGCCTCACTACTGTATGCAGCTACAATAATAATTCATACATGACAGGGCTGTTTTGAGAGTGAGTGTGTGAATATACATGAGGACCTTAGAATTGTTTCTAGGAAGTAACAAATAATTAGTCAGTAGCTACTGGATGAAGAATAATTGAGATTTAATATTAAAATAGCCAGATCCTAAGCAAAATCATTCAGTTCTTGGATCAAGGGGTAATTATTATTCTATGTTTTCACTATTTTATTTACTATGCAATCTGAAAAACACAATTCTAAGAATCTAGAACTTAATGTCCATTTCCATTTCCTGTGAAGGCCAGGAATGCCAACTCCTTTAGTTAGTATGAGGGGTTATTATAATGTTCCATTCCTAAAGTCTACCTACATTTAGGTGTTTTAGATAATAACTTAATAGTTAATTGCTTGATAATCTCCTTGGCTGCAGTCTTTCCTCTTTTAAATTGCCCATCTAGATGTTAAGTTAATTAGCTGAGGTTTGGGTCATCTTTTACATTCTAAATGAGAGGTCTTCCAAGTAGAGCCATGATCTCTGGGCAACCAAAGAAAGATTTTATCTTCCAGTTTGCACAGGGAATGACAAGCCGAACCCCGCGGCAGAGCAGAGGATGCCCACTACAGACCCCTAACACCGAAACATTTCTCTGCTGGGAGCAGGCCCTCTCTAACCCTTCTCTGTAGTCTAACACATCTGTATCTGAACCAGAAATCTTGGCAGATATGCGTCTTTCTGAATCCTGTTCCATTGCATGGTGTAGTGAACATGGCTTTAACGTTCAATGAATCCAGGTAAAAACTGAAAGATCAGATTTTGGTACAAAGTAATTTCAGATGTACGTTTATGACATAAACACACTTTTATTTGCATTACATCCTAATGTTAAAGTTGTAGTGCAAATATATAATCACCATCTCTGTGAATTTAAGAGCCACATTTTTAGACTAACAACCAGATGTTTCAAAATAGCCTACTGTGAATGTTTCCTCTCTGCATTTATAAATAGCACCCTGACCTCTTTTCCAATTGAATTCAAGGGCTTCCTATTGGCTCAGTAATTCTTAAAGTCTCTTGTTCTTATGGATACAAAGGTACTTCAACAAATGTCTCTGAACCTATTTGTCGATTTGTTTACATTTATTCATCCAATAAATATTTAAAGAACACTACTGTCCTCAAGATAATAGTGGGAAATATTTTCAGCTCAAGATAACAGTACCTCTTATCTCATTTGAGAAGAGTGCTAAGGACTACAAACCAAGTGAAGACACTGTTTTCCCTCCAGTAGTTGAAAATAAAGAGGTGCGTCAACATGACAATAAGCAAAGGAAATGACACCCAAACAATCAGCCCTTCGTGGCTCCACGCCAGTGAAGGAGGAATCCCAAAACAAAACTTTTCCAGAAGAGTAAGATGTATCCAGGAAAGCACTTTAAATCACAGTGATGGGAAAAATCAACATCTGTGGCCTTGACTTTCATTCACTTTGCAGTATAGTGCTTTAATCACAAATTGGTATCATCCTTCAGAAGTACTTAGGAACCCTAAGATAATCTCTAAGCAAGTCCAGGAGTATAGCTATACATTGCAGCAATTCAGAGCCTTGCAAAAGCTTTGATCAGAGAGGAGCTATGGAGGAGGGTTTCAAGGAGGCCACAGGAGGAGGTACCAGCATCTGAAAGTAGACCAAAGGGCACAGAGGAGGCACAGGAAGAGGAGACAAATCAGGCAATAGCAAGAAGAGAGAACAGGTGCATTGGGCCTAGAGTTCCACAAGTTTATGAAGCATGATGCCTGAATGCATCTGGAGTCAGCTGAAGAGGACATGCTACAGGAAGAGGCCTGTATCTGAAGATGCACGGAAATTCTCAGCAGCTCTCCTGACCATCTCCACCTCCGGAAGCCCAAGTCATCTGATAACCAAAAAATAGACCAGTTTCTCTTTTACCACTGGATAGACCAAGCCATCTATCCTCAACCTAAAGCTAATAAGCAGTGTAGCCAGTGGTGGCCTATTTTGCATTCAACTTTGAGAACCTCTGGACAGATAAACCATCCTCTCAGCCCCTCTCCTCCATAGTTATTCCCTTACCTACCCATCCCCACATACACATATAAGACAAAAGAATAATTCCACTCACAAATAGCTTTCATCACCAAAGACACCCAACAAAATGCCTACCGCAACCCAAATCAGGGCACCTTTGATCTCACCTGAGCATGGAAGAGAACGAGCTTATGCTGAATGAAAACAGTAATAAAATTTCTACTCAGACAGGATCATAACACCATAACTATTCAATTAAGGAGGGAAAGTGAGCCAAGTAACTTACGTAGTATCACATATTTAATCTGTTCAATACTTTTTATGTACATTTATTTATTTAAAGTGGGTGTTTAAGTGTAGATTCAGTGTGCCTGTGGAAGTTAGCTGACAACTTGCTGAGATGATTCTCTCCTCCTACCTTGTGGGTCCTGGGAATGGAACTCAGGTGATTAGGCTTGGAGGCAAGCACCTTTACCCACTGAGCCATATCTGCAGGCCCTGACTGATACTAGTTTTTAAAAGAAAAACAATAAACTCTATGGTAGAAATAATTTAAGACGGCATCTCATACCCTCTGTTTTTACATCTATCATGTTTGGTCAAAGCAAAGATATATTTCTGACATCAATAAGAAGTTATCTACATAATTAATATAATTAATATTCTACAAACAATTCCAAGGGGCTGGATGGATGGCTCAGAGATTATGAGCACTGGCTACTCCTGCAGATGACCTGGGTTCGATTTCCAGCACCCACATGACCACTAACAACAATCCCAACTCCAGTTCCAGAGGATTAGACACCCTCTCCTGGCCCCCACAGACACTGCACAACGCAAGTGCACTTACATACATGCAGACAAAACACTCCTATACATTACTCAAATAATAAGTAAAAATAAATTTATTTTAAAAACTTCCAAAACACCCCACAGTTTATTATGTGCAAAAGCAAGACCCAATAAACAAGGCAATAAACAAATAGGAAGAGGGGGGACATCATTGACAGAAGTCAATAAGCAATGACTGTCATTTATATTTCCCATTTTACAGTCTCACTTTCACCACCCTGAGGTGGAAGGAAGTGACTTGGAAAGCAAAACAAAGGATAAATTCTTGTAGGATGTTATGAAGTCTATAACTTAGAATCCTCAGAATCAAAGTTTTTTAAACTTCAGTTTCAATACTATATCACAGTAGGGAAAAGTAATTGAATCTTAAAATCACTCATTGAGTGCTTTCTTAGCCTCAGTGATAGAACCCAAGATAACAGGGAAACAGGAATTTGTTTTTAAATGGACCATCAGCTCCTTCAAGAGACAAACAATATAAATCCATCCATCTGACAGGCTAAGCAGAGGAAGGGAAAAAAAAATACAAAGACATGCACACCCACATAAATCAGTTTTAACAAGCCATTTGACTTCCCCTCTAGGTACATTTTAATTTAAAAAATATCTTTGACCAATGACACATTAGGTTGGTATAACACCGGTGGGCGGACCCAACTTAAACGTGTTAAATCTCTCCTTGGAAGGGAGCCAGGGGGATATTTCCATTTTAAGATGTAGCCTACTTGCACGACCCACTTTTTTCTCTTTTAAACACTGTTAAGGAGTGGAATGCCCAGTGCCTTTGCTCACTATATTTCTCTTGTAAGTGTATACAGGTAGAAGAATTTTAAAGATATTTCTTTCCTTTAAAATGTCAGCGTCCTTCAAAAAAAACAAAACAACAACAAAAACCACCCATAGTCACCTTCCAATCACTTACAGGCAACGTTCCATAAACTCCTGCTAGCGTACAGTGCTTAAGTGAGGAGAAATCAATACTGGGCTTGTAAGTACAATGCTATTATTGGTAATAACAATGACATCCGATTAAATGTACTTTTTTAAAAATAGCTTTTAGAAAAGGATATATTCCACTGAACAGCCTACTTCAAGGACACGCTTGAAAAAAAAAAAGTTGCTATCATTATTGCAACAATCTAAGACAGTTTTCTACATAAAGTAGCTTATCGTTCCCCGTGTATTTTTTCCTCTAATAATCAAAGGTTGTCGTTCACAATATAATTTCAAAAGTCTTCCTCCCAGTCAAAGTAACTCCAGATCACCACAAAGTGGGAGACGCGTTTTAAAATGAAGTAAAATAAAACTTACTTTAATTAATAGGATGGACACCAATTCTCCCAAGACAACTGCTTCCCAAAGAATAAAGATTAGACTGGTAAACGCAGCGCAGAGAGGTCCCCGGGTACAGGGCTGGGTTCAGGCAGGTGGAGGCCGAATGATTGTAATTAAAGTTAATTAACAGGGCTGCCTTCTTAAAGTGTGTACCAAGCAGGGTGCGGGGGAGCAGAGTGCCCAAAGTCATTACCTCCACATAGAAAATAACTTGGTGCCCGAAGCCGTCCAGGGGTCCTGGCGATGGGGCTGGGGAGGGACGGAGGCTGGGGGTCCCGGACCGTCAGCGTCAAATCCCAGAGTTTGCAATCGCTTACCCGCTTCTGGTTTCCCTTCAGACGCCCACTCGCGGGAAAGCCATCCGACCAGGGCCGAGCACCGGCGCTCCGGAAATCCAGCCCGAGAAGAGCCCCGAAGGGACGGCGAGCGGGCGGACGGGCTGGCGGGAGCGCAACGAGATGGCCTTCCACGCGGGACGCTGCGCGCTCAGCGCACCCGGGGACTGGCCTGGCGCGGCGGGGCGGGGAGCCCAGCGCCGCGGGTCGGCCGAACCTGGTCCCC